AGAAAGGGTCAGTCAAATATACATACTTAAAGGAGAACTATGAGGTGAGTGAATTCCACTCATCCTCATGTTAGAGCCAAAGCTGTCACAGGTCGACTCTATCGATCGGGAAGTGAGCAGAAACATGCATTGATCCGCTCACTTCCCAATCGTCTCCCTGCAGTGAGCGGTGACTGTCAGTCACCGCTCCCCACAGGGATTCCCCCCTCCTCTCTCCAGCGCTGAGTGGAGGAACGAACGAGAGAGGGGGGTGGGCACAGCTGGCTCTGCCTCTAGATAGGCAAATCCAGCTGTCACTCACACAGCTGGGTGGATCTCGACTGTATTGTCGGGAACCATCCCAGCTGCGGTGCTCTCAGTATGTCGCGGGCTATTGCCAGCGATATACTGAGCTTTGGGTCACGGGAGAAGGTTAATATATGGCCTCCCATGACCCTAAAGAGAACTATGGGGAAAAAGACTTACCCCATAGTTCTCTTTTAAATATCTTATAGCTGTTTGTGATTGGTTTCAACTCCAACTGCAGCATAAAATCTTCAGACTCTTGAGACAGGCTAAAGAGTAGACCACTGCTATCTGCGTGAGCAGTGGTTTGTATGAGCTGTGGCACCCTACACACACTGCTGTTATCCCCCACATTGTGCCAAGGCTGCTGGGTGTGGCTTGAGGGGTGTCACAGGTAAATCCATTTCTCCAAAAACTTGATACAAAATTTTATTACTGAGCCGTCACAATTTTGATAGCATATAGTCTATGGTAACTACAATTCCTTATCTCAAAAATATATATTTTTTTAAATCATTAAAAAAGTCATTTTTTTGAGTTGACAAAATAATGTTAGGTTCCGCTTTCCCTTGAGTTTGTGAATGAAACTTCAGCTAGCATTTAAATGCTAGTTAAATGTAAACCACATCCCAGAAATGTCTGATGTATATTTAAATTGTGCAAGTCTGTAATTTGTTTTGTTGTTGTGTTTGGAGCAGCAATTAGCAGCCATTAATCTTCTTCGAAAACCCCTTAGTGTTTAATTCTGCATACCAATAAAGGCCATGATTCAGATTTGCCCTCATTTATTCCATAGGAGAATCCTTTAGAAACCGAAATTATGTGGATTTAATGAAATAAATATAAATGTAGAGAATTCAGGATAATATAAACCTTAAGGTTTTATGGGGACATTTCACAAAGGGCAAACAGCATTTTTAAAGTAAGTGAGTTGAGTTCTTAAACAGCTGAAAAAAAAGAACAGCACAGAAAATTAAAATAAAATGAAAACTAACATATATTGGAATTTAACTGTAGAAGAGTTTAAAAAAAAAAAAAATTATGTTTGCTCTTTTAAGCATTTGCATTGTAATTGTAAATGTTTGCTTTTACACTCCAAAAAAACGATACACTAATGTTTGCTTAATTCAAACTAAACCAAAAGGGACAGTTTAAGGGCTCTTGAGTCTTTACAGGACATTGTGTTTTCTGTTTTACAAGCCAAATGTTATTCTGTTCCTTACAAATAAGTGTTTGTACATATAATCCATAAATGTTGTGCTTGATACATTTGGGTTTCCATTTTATAAAACAGACTTTAAAATAAGGTTGGCAATTACAAGAGTTCTATGTGCGCGTGACCTCCTTTGTAATGGTTATGTTAACATAATGAAATGTATTCAATTATTTATTTATGGAAAACATGGTAAATATATTATTAGTAAGTTGATAAATACAGTTACTGATAGGTATGTATTTTTTTTTTTTTTAAACATGTCTTTATTAGTTTTCATTCCATCAACAGAGGAATAACGTAAAACAAATACAACAAATACAAAAAAATACAAAAAAAGGAGCAGTTTGGCCACAGCCGCGGCGATTTTGGCCGAGTCTCTGGGAGACCCCGGGTCCGGTATCGATTCCGTGTCCGAGTCAAGGGGGGAATCTGGTTGTGAGGCCTCCATCGTCTCGAGTAGAGCTTGCGCGCCCTTTTTCCCCGACCGATAGTTCTCCCGTGGCGTGCCACGGGAACGTTCTACAAATTTGTCCATCGTTGGAGGGCTACGTGCAGCTACGATTCACTCCTTGTTGTAGTGCTCAGTGGCAGCTCTGGCCGGTTTAAAACGCTGATTTATCAGTCCCGGGGACCGGAGCTCCTTACATGTGCGACTCTCCTGGCAGGCGCCGGAACCGGAAGTCCCCGATAGGTATGTATTTCAATAATGCAGAAAAGGTTTGGCCTTAAATTACCTTACCATCCTTTAATAAGCCTAAAATGCATTTAAATATCACTTCTAAACCTTTATTAATATCACAAATTTCATACAAAAGATCTCTGACAAAAAATGCCATAAGAAACAAGTTGAACTATGCACATAAAGGTCAAGTAAAACATACAGTCATGAGAAAAGAAAAGTACTTGAAGTCTTTGAACTCTGTGTTTTTACGTATCAGTGTGTAATAACAATCATCTGGTCCTTAGCAGGTGTTAAAATTAGGTAAATACAACCTCAGGTGAACAATGACACATGACATATTACATTGTGTCATTATTTATTTCACAAACAAAAAGCCAAAATGGAGAAGCTGTGTGTGAAAAACTGTAAAAAGTAAATCCTTACTGCTTCCGTATGCCATGTGATTAGCAGGTGCTTCTAATCAAATGCCCTTCATTAAATTGATCATCAGCAAGTGTGACCATCTCTATAAAAGCAAAGGTTTTAGCAGTTTGCTGGTCTGTAGCATTCAGGTGTGTTAATGCAATGCCAGTGAGGAAAGACATCTGCATTGATCTTAGGGAAGCAATTGTTGCTGCCCATCATTTGGGAAAGGGCTTTAAGGAAATGTTCAAACTATTTAAAGTCCATCATTCTACAGTTAGGAAGATTATTCACAAGTGGAAAACATTCAAGACAGTTGCCAATCATCCCAGGAGTGGACATCCCATCAAATTTACTCCAGGTCAGACAGTAAAATGCTCAGAGGATTTGCAAAAAATCCCAAGAGTTACATTTCAGACCCTACAGGCCTTAGTTAGAATGTTAAATCCTTATTTATATCAAGCGGTATATCTAATATATAAAAGGTACCGCATCCATATGATATGAAACACTTGATTATAGTAAAAAATGTGGACTTTTAAGGTAACTTCCAACAATACATATCTATTGAAATAGGGATCGCAGTGCGACATACAGAGCAGATTGAAGGAGAGAAGTGCTGTGTCGTTGCATTAGGATCCCTAATAGGAGGATCGCTTTGTTTTGGAGGACTCCATCCATGTGGGCAGTTCTTAAAGAGGATTCATCATGCCAAAAATCCAGCATAAAAGGTAAAACCAAAATGTGGAAGTATTTTCAGCTACATATGTGGATCTCAGTTTGAGAATGTCTATGTCTTTACTTGGTGTATTCTTTTGTTGTTATTTGGCCGTATAGGTGGGTTCCTCAGGTCAATACCTCCTCATCTGCACCAGGGATGAATAGGGACCTATAAAAGCTTGTCGAGAAAGTCCTTGCATTTTCAATATGTATCTATTTTCTAGGGATGCACCAGAACAAATGCTCCAATACTTACCCCAATACTGAAACTGCCGGTCAGGGTGAGATTCCCTCTGTCCGGCAGTGCCACAAGGGAGCATGGAGTCGGCTTCCTGGCCAATCAGGAGGCCGGGCGGCGGGTCATATTGGCTGGAAAGCCGGCTTCATGCTGCCTAGCAACACTGCGGGACAGCCTTGCATTCTGACCAGTCAGAAACCCAGCCCTCAGGTCATGACCAGCCGCCCAGCTTCCAGATTGCTCAGGAAGCCAGGCTGCCCCTCAGGGTTGCGAGAGAGAGCGAGAAGCCAGCTTCCCAGCCAATCAGGAAGCTGCACGGTTTCCTGATTACCGGGGAAGCCGGGCCCACGCTACCTCGGGATGCCGACATATAAAAAAATATCAGTACTCGGATTCGATACCGAAAAACCGGCATCAGTGCAACCCTAGCATTTTCTTTATTAGAACACAATGCTTTCAGTGAATGCACTATGTCGTTTGAGGTTTATTTAATGACAGATGCCCATTCAACCTACTCAAGTTCCTCAAATTCAAAATTGTCAAACCATATGCTTATGGACCTGGCTTTGGGTACAGCGGCACTGTCATGCTGCAACAGGAAAGGTCCTTCCCTTAACTGTTCCCACCAGGCTGAAAGAGCACAGTTGTCTAAAATGTCTTTGAATGCTGTGGCATTAACAGTACCTTTCACTGGTATCACCAGAACTCAATAATCAGGAGGGGTGTCCACATACTTTTAAAGTGCATTTTTGTCTTGGGTAGACAAATCACCCACTGGCATTCTATCTGCACTAATTTTGGATGGGATGGCTCCTTAATAGTGTGTTATACTATTATATATCAAGGAGAAAAAAACAAAACATTTAGTACATCCCTGGAACACGTGCACATATATCCAGGTATTTTCCTTTTTAACATGCGGCTAGTATAGAAACATACCTATAGATGTGCCAGAAATATAGTGTGCTGCTATCTTTCTTAGGCATGACAACACAGATCTGAATTCCTAATCATATGTTGTCAGCCCTGCCTACTTCATTTCTCATGAATTGCAAAGAACACAGACCCCTTCTCATCTCCTCACCCCTCCTTATCTCCATAGCCCCTCCTTGTGCACAGGCAGAGAGTATGGGAAGTTACCTGCTTCCAAGATTTCCAACAAAATCAACAGGTATTTTTTGCACAAATCAAGCAGATATAACAAAATACTTTGAATTGCGTATTTAGCAGACCAAAAGGAAGAAGCAAAAGAGAGAAAAATTCAATGATAGGAGTTACATATACTTTAACAAGCAGCAAGTTGCGCACAATCAGCTTTTATGATTAAAAGCTATTATAATTATACAATTCCTATGAATAAAATAATGGTGTGTTTATACATAAAATGCATCTGTCATGGCTCTTAACTACTGTATAGCCACTGTATTTCTTAAGTAACACTTGGCACTACTGCTGCCCCTGGGGAGCTTTGGTTTTCTGTGTTGGCAATTTCAAATAAATAATATTTACCTAGAAACATTTAATCCAGTTTTCACAAATCTGACGTAAATGGGCAAGGCTTTAAACATGGCCAAAGGGGTAAAGTATGATGTATTATGACATAGCCCAAATAAAGGAGAAGAGGGAAAAAACAGATAGAGCAAAATAAAATTTAGCCCATTGATCATTGTTTTCATACCCCTCTTCATACATTATATATTGCTCTAGAAAGCAACAAAATGGGATGAATGTGATAAAATTGTCATTTAATCCATCTGGGAAATATATACTGTTTTGCAATATTACGGAGATGCCTACGAGGACTTGCGTTGCTGCCACAGATTAGTTTTCTTCATTCTCTTCCTATAGCCTAGACAATTAACCTTTATGCTACCAGGAAAGCAGGCTGCACTGTAGTGAACATGGGGTTATTTTGCAATTTTCTTTTCCATCTCTGCAAAGCTATTTGAAGCTAAGGACAATCTGTTCAGCTTAAAACAATAGCACTGAGGTAGTGCACAGAGACTCGCCCACTCCATGGATTTCTTATTGCGACATGTCCACTTCTATTTACACAGATTCCTAAGTGTTCCGCTGGTAATAAAAAGCAATTTTAATGTATTAAAAAACTCCTGCAAAGCTAATAGACCTGGGTCACTTTTCAGTCTCAAAGGGAATAAAATACTCCATGTGTTGGAATTTCAGAACTTCGTTCCCCCAGCTTGTCCAGCCTGGCTGCAGATTACGGGCAAATAGCTCCAAGCGCGCCGCATCTGGTTTAACATATTTTTTCAAAACCTCTGAAACAAAGAAAAGAAGAAGGAAGTGATGAAGAAGAACAAAAATCAATCTTTCTCCAGCTATCAGGAGATGAAAAACTGGAGTATTTCAATAAAAAGAAGGCAGCAAATTAATTTCAAGGATTTCATCAACAGCCCGGGCTATTTATAGGTAGGAAATCATTTGAAATATGCGCCCTTGAGATTGTGAACAATACAGTCAGAGGCTTCAATAGGTCTGATTTATTGGTTTTCATTTAAAGACATGGAATGAGGATTTTACCGCCTACACAGGTGACTTTTCAATTTTTCAATAGAGTCATCTCAGTACTCCTGAGCAAGCGGTGTCAATGTATTAAATGCTTTCTAAATGATAGGAACAAAACATGGCTGAAAAGCACAGGACAATTAGTACACAGCGATCAGGTTAAATTCTAAGGACAAGGACTGTGATAAAAACACCTTATCACCGGCTGGGGATGCTGCATTACGCTGTGCTGCAATAAATGCAGAGTCCAATTCCAAGACTTCTCTACAGACGTCTTAGAGGATCTAAGGTGAATGCACACTGCTAGATTTAAATAGAGATAATATTTCATCTGAGTGCACTATCACTGAGCCCTCTCTGTTCGAGCAGCTGTATCACTATTTCAACATGATAGCTGACCTTTCTAGTGAAAAGAGAGACATCGGTTCACTCATTCTTAAATAAAGGTAAAAATCTATATATGAATGCAATACGCCATGCTGAAAAAAAATCTTCAAATTCTTCATCAAAATATATATGGGTATATTGCTAAAGGGCCGAATGAGACATTTACCAAACCTGCAGGTGCATCTTCCTAGTGCATATGAATTAAATATTAGATGGGATGAATCCTTCTTGTATATGGACAGTGAAAGGAGCAGTAGTAATGTGATGAGATTATCTCTCTGTCTGCTATCTCCTTCTGTCAGCACATGAACTGATTGGCTCCATGTACTGCTGCTTCCTCTCACACTCCAGCCCTGCTGTATATGAACATGATGCCAATACCAGGTCAAATGTAGCTACTTATATTACTTCTATTTTAAATTAGACGTAATGATGTGTTAACAATTACACATAATTGATCTTTTTCAGCATTAGGTAGATACAAATGATTTTTTTCTTATGTGATAAAATCAGCATTACTATTTTACTGTTAAATCTTTGTAGCACACAACTACTATAAATGGAATAGGAAAAGCAAAATACATAGTAAAGCTCAAACGATGTTGAAGAAATATATAAAGTATAAAATTACAAGGAGCTGTCCAATGCTTGTTAGTAGAATTTATAAAGAATAAAATGTACCAACTGGTTAATCAGGTGAGGATCTCGGCTCATTACACGTCAGACAAAAACTACATGGTTAATAGTTCATGTTCTCAGGTTTGAAAATTACCAAAATGCTAAATGATAGCTTAAGGATCTTCTTAAATATATAATGATGTATGTATTTTTTTTTACTCCTACTAGGACTCAGTGTTCATATCACAAGAAATTCAAACCATTAATTACCCTTTCTTTCTCTCTAATGATGTAAAGGTGAGTTTAATGAATTCAGTACAGAGATCAGGGTCATCATGCCCTTTGTTAATATGAGGTTGGACTTTGTACAAGGCTACACTTTGCAAACCAGACGAGGATTTGCTAAGCGGAGTCATCTATTGCATCTCTACACAATTGTTTGAAAGGTTTGTCGTCATGGTTACAAAGTTTCTAAACTACAATGCACAGAGCTGCTGCCAAATTGTGAGATGCATTTGAACATCAACTCTAATGTGGCCTTCTTACATACAAGAACACATTTAAAAAAAAAACCCCCCCCCCCCCCACTAAAATGAATAATAGAAAGTGCACGTACTATGCTTACTACATTCCAAAGGATGAACCTTGTGTTTCATGGTTAATAGAATAAAGACCTATAGATAAACACTACTGTCAGTTTCATCCTATGCTCAATGCTAAAACACAATTATTACTGACGCAATGTGTTTTTTTCTTTCATGCATTTTATGTATGCACAAAACTTAACACCTTCACAGTAGATAGATAGATAAATTGCTATGCCCCCGTGTTATGAGGAAATCAAATCAAATTTTGGTTGTTCTAAATGGTGGAAAAGGGCCCTTTATGTTTTTAAGCAGGGCCAGAAGTGGATCTGAAAATGTCATACTATTGGTGTTTACACAAGATGATTACAAAATGGTATCCTGCACACCATAAATAATAAGCAATAAAGGGTCCACCTCGAGAAGGGGGCTGATTACCCCAAAACGTTGGCTCTCATTTCTTCTGGATTTTCTTCTGCCTAATGTGCTTTTGCAATGGCACACTGACATGCTTTAATGGTTGTATCTGTTTTAACTATTTACCTTTGTATGTGTTAGCTGGTCTCCGTGTCTAAATCTTTGCATTTTTATATCGCTGTCACCTTTTCTACAATATAATCTATTTATGCAAAGTATCTGGGTGTGCTGATTCATTCTATTTATATTGTTTCTGTTTACTTACACCATTAACAAATCTCAATTTTTCTATTCTCATCCAATGGAAAGTATGCAAAATTTGTGCTGCAATATAATAAATCAATTGGATAATACTCTGCGTCATGAATAAATTAAAATGTGAAAACAACTGTAAAAGCTGCTGTGCTATAAGTGTAATACCCAACTCAATGTGCACGGACATCTGGCATCACCAATATACACTATATTGCCAAAAGAATTTGGACGCCTGCCTTTACACGCACATGAACTTTAATGGCATCCCAGTCTTAGTCCGTAGGGTTCAATATTTAGTTGGCCCACCCTATAACAGCCTAAACACTTCTGGGAAGGCTATCCACAAGGTTTAGGAGTGTGTCTATGGGAATGTTTGACCATCCTTCCAGAAAAGCATTTGTGAGGTCAGGTACTGATGTTGGACGAGAAGGCCTGGCTCGCAGTCTCCGCTCTAATTCATCCCAAAGGTGTTCTATCGGGTTGAGATCAGGAATTTGTGCAGGCCAGTCAAGTTCCTCCACCCCAAACTCGCTCATCCATGTCTTTATGGACCTTGCTTTGCGCACTGTCATGTCATGTTGGAACAGGAAGGGCCCATCCGAAAACTGTTCCCACAAAGTTGGGAGCATGAAATTGTCCAAAATGTCTTGGTATGCTGATGCCTTAAGAGTTCCCTTCACTGGAACTAAGGGGCCAAGCCTAACCCCTGGAAAACAACCCCACACCATAATCCTCCCTCCATCAAACTTTACACTTGGCACAATGCAGTCAGACAAGTTCTCCTGGCAACCGCCAAACCCAGACACGTCCATTGTATTTCTCGACAGAGAAGCGTGATTCGTCACTCCAGAGAACACGTCTCCACTTCTCTAGAGTCCAGTGGCGGTGTGCTTTACAACACTCCATCCGATGCTTTGCATTGCAGTTGGTGATGTAAGGCTTGTAAGGCTTGGATGCAGCTGCTCGGCCATGGAAACCCATTCCATGAAGCTCTCCACGCACTGTTGTTGTGCCAATCTGAAGGTGACATGAAGTTTGGAGGTCTGTAGCTATTGATCTGCAGACAGTTGGCAACTTCTGCGCACTTCAGCATGTGCTGACCCCACTCTGTCATTTTATGTGGCCTACCACTTCGTTGCTGTTTTTCCCAGTTGCTTCCACTTTGTTATAATACCACTAACAGTTGACCGTGGAATATTTAGTAGCACGGAATTTTCATGGATGGACTTATTGCACAGATGGCAACCTATCACAGTACCACGCTTGAATTCACTGAGCTCCTGAGAGTGACCCATTCCTTCCCAAATGTTTGTAGAAGCAGTTTGCATGCCTATGTGCTTGATTTTATACACCTGTGACCATGGAGGTGATTGGAACACCTGAATCCAATGATTTGGAGGGGTTCTAATACTTTTGGCAATATACTGTATGTGGATTATGGTTTAATTCCACCTACTAATACTGGTAGGTTCATTGGGTTCAAACAAACCAGCCCTATAGTGGGTGAGTGTTTCTATGTGGGTGACTGTGGTAGGGCTGTTAGATAGTAAGCTCCTGCTAGACAAGGACTGTAAAGGCAGATGTAAAATTAGGACCTCAGTTGTATGTAGCAGTATGATGTGTATAACCTTCTACATGTAATGAAGAACATATGCAAAATAAACATACACCATGATTTATATTTAATGTTAAATAATACATCAGGCAAGGACTGGAAAGCAAAACCAAACTCAATTAATACTCTAGATACTATGAAAAGTTTTCACCTCCTTCGAAGTGTTCAAGTTTTATTATTATTATGGAACATTGAATAACTGGATTTCATTTTTTTTTTGGGCGGGTTTACACCAAAAGTAAAAACAGATATATAGTCTAAATTGATTTTTAAAAAACTCCACACAAAATATCTGCAGATCTGGACAGATATTCCTCTTTTCCTGGGTTTCTGCATAATGGCTCCTAAAACATAATCTAAAGGTGCCCATACACTGTGCGATTATCGTACGAGAATCGCGGGAAATCCCGCAATCGTACGAGAATCGCAAAGTGTATGGAAGGCGTGCGACCGGTTCTATTGTATGGTCGCACGTCTTCCTTCGAACAAGCAGGCTGGAAAACCCGCCGGGAATGGTACGATTCTCGGCGGGTTAGTGGCCTGCTTGTACGACAACTGCTGAACGGGCCGGTGTGCGCAGGTGCACACTACCCGTTCAGCATTGCATTCATCGGAAGCCTGCCCCTCAAGGGGGCGGGCTTGCGATGATCACAAGTAAGATCTGCCTGTCAAAGATGGGCAAATCGTACGCTTTTTTTAATTACTTAACAACCCTCGCAAGACAAAAGTCTTGCGAGGGTTGTAAAGTGTATGGCCACCTAAATTAGGTCATAAAAATAAAAAGGTCCAAATATATGATAATTAAGATTAACAAAAGACTTAGGGGTCTATTTACAGTGCCCTTCGCTATGTGAAAATTATTATTAGCATTTATATA